GGGTCTTGAATATCTCCAGAGAAGGAGACTCCACAACCTCCCTGGGCAGCCTGGGCCAGGGCTCCGTCACCCTCAGAGGGAAGAAGTTCTTCCTCGTGTTCAGACGGAACTTCCTCTGCTTCAGTTTGTGCCCATTGTCCCTTGTCCTGTCGCTGGGCACCACTGAAAAGAGTCTGGCCTCATCCTCCTGACACCCACCCTTCAGATATTTATAAACATTTATTAGGTCCCCTCGCAGCCTTCTCTTCTTCAGGCTGAACAAGCCCAGCTCCTTCAGCCTTTCCTCGTAGGAGAACAGAACAACCAACCATAATAGCAAAGACCCTATAATGCTAAAACTTTAGAAAAAAATCTTCATAAGATTAATTATTCCTTTTCTAAATTTGCACTGTAGATAAATACTTTGTGATTTAGGCAAGTTCTTCTGGGTTTTGACCAGCTCTCATTTAAACTTGTTTCAGAGACGCTCAGAACTGACACATGGATGGGAGGCTGTCCCCGTAGCAAATGCTCCGCTAAAAACTCTGTGTGTGTGTGTGTGTGTGTGTGTATCTGTGTCTTGTCACTGACAGTGCCCACTCCTGTCCCTGGCTGCTGCCAGGGCAGCCCTGGCTGGGGTGGTCTCACTAGCGCAGGAGGTCGAGGAGTGCGATGAACACAACTCAATTTCTGGAAGCCTTCGCGTGGGCATCCTGATGGCAGCTTGGTGGATGCAGAGGGGGTGAACGTTGCTGCAGGCGTGGGATCTGTGCTCAGGCTTATTTGTTTAGACTGTAGGCGACTGAAGAAGAGGTAGCTCGTTTCTTCTAAATGCGCACCCTGTGCTCTCAGCAAAATTGCATTTTTATCGTTACTGCCACAATATTGAATGCTACCCCCACACTACAGGTTTTCAGTTTTCTGTTTGTCCTTTGTCATTTTATTTCTGTGCTCTCCTTTAAAGATGAGACCTTACTGACTGCCCTGTCTTTCTTCTGCTGAGTAATTCCACCAGGTGTCTGACAAAGATACTTCTGGAGAGCAGATATTTAGCTTAGCAATGCCAAAAGGTATTTAGCAAAGGTACTTCTTAGCTCCTTTACTAAAGCTTTTTGATACCTCTGCAAAATTTCTCTGCACAGCACTGACCAGCAGGATGACTATGGCTCTGCGTGCGCACACGGTTCACTGCGGGCACAGTCAGCAAATTGGGCTTCAGGTAGCTTCCAATCTGCCTGGGGACTGAGCTTACTTATTTATTCTTAGATGTGATAGACATTGCTACTGGACTTGAATCTAATGCCGTATGAAGGGCTGTGTGGGTTCATTTTCAATCTCATACTGTGTCCCTGTAGACAGCATAATTCAAGCTTTCCTGCTTTATAGAATATTGGTTGAATATAATAACAGTTAAAAAATACCTACAGGAAAACTGGTGTTAATGAGAAAGAGTGGAAGAAAGTTAAATTATATCTACAATAAAGTAAGGCTTTTTAATTTTTTTTTTCTTATATTCTGGCTTCATGGTCCTTCATTAAGACCTAACGTTAGAGTTTGTGGAAAAGCCCTCATGTATATTTAAAAATTTTGACTGCAGCTCAGATTTAACTGAAGCAGAAAGCATGAATTTGGGAGACCTGGATACTGTGACTCGTAGGTTTGAAAACAGAATGAGTGCAATTTCTGAACACTGGTTGGCAGGTGTTGATGGCTGACATTCTGTAATTTACTGAACTAGGTTTACAAAAGGCCAGCAAGGAGACTGGAAGGCTAGGGGCCAGCTGCATGGAATCCTGAGTGTGCTTGCCTCCTTTTGAGGGAGAAAATGAGCTTGTTGCTTGGTCATAACGCAGAGCTAACCCGGGCCAGTTTGTCTTGGCTGGAGAGGGAGCTGTGCGTTATTTGGTCCACAGTCTGCTGGGCTGCATTTCAGAGCATAGTGGGGTTTGACTCAATGGCAAGTTCAGACCAGGGTTAGGCTTCATCCCAAACCCGCTGAATCAAGCTTGTCCCCGTGTGCCATTTCCCATCATCTTTGTTGTGTCGTCAGAAATCCTGAGTTCCAAAATGCTAATGTAAATGTGTTTGGGTGGCTTTTTGTCCCCTCATCTTGCCGAGTCTTAATGTTGCAAATGCTACTGTAATAAATATTATTGAGAGGGATTCACTGAAGGATGTAAATATTCATCAGTTTTTAATGATTTGTATTTGAATCCAGAAAATTGGCTTATGACTCCACGCTGATTTTCTCTCACTCTGATTTCACATGGCGTTAAGTGCAGGAGGATTAAATACCTGGGGTTTTCTCTGATCCGAACCAGACTTTGCTATCTTCATTTGGAAATAAGTTCTTCATTAGCTGGTACCTCAACCTTGTGCATCGCCTGATTTTTTCAATCCTTCGTGAATTTTTGTTCCTAACAAAGAGCTTCAGGATCACTCTTGTCACTCTCATGTGAACCAGTCACCACTCCTGGAGTATTTAATTTTCACCTTGGCAAGGCTGTCGGCTGCGTAGTCATGCAATTCAGAATGGGAGGCCAAAAAGTGGAAGTGTTGGCCCTGAGATTGAGAGCTTCGATGTTCTTCCTATCCTTTTGTGTTTAAACTATCCAAACCTTGCAAAGCACACCAAACCATTGTATGCTTTATGGACCGGGTCCCTGAGTTGGGAATCCTGTGCAGAAGCGCAGTGGGAGTGTGCGCTGGCAGCCACAGTCCCCTCTCCAGGGATGAGCTCCGGCTCTTGACCAGTGCCGAAGACAGGGCCATGTTGTCTTCTCTTGCGTTTTTGAGCTGTAGCAAGATGGTGTGGCTGTGGTGGCATGCTCTCACGATGCTGTTTAGCTGCATAGGCTCATGGATGGGTAGTCTCAAGATTCTCGTGTATGATGGGATGGATACACTCCACTGAAGGGCTGTTAGTTTCACGGTGCAGCTCCGATGGTCGTCCCCTCTGGGAGCAGTTGGCATTAGGTGTAACCTTTTCTGTGTTTGCAGTGGGTGCATTTTGCCCAAAATATTTACGATCATTGTAGATTACAAATAAATTTGATGTAGATTGACAATGCAATTTTGGTAATTTGACCGTACCCTTTTAAAAGCCACTTATGGCTTCTCCATTGCCGTAAGACACCTCATTTTTATAAGATTAGTATGACCTGGATTAGTCAGCAAATGACACTGAGGACTTCTGGCGAAAACCCAAGGTGATAGTATGAGATTAATATTGATAACCCGGAGCCTGAATAAATGAGACACCAAATGGCCTAAATTTAAATTGGCTTCAGTGGAACTTGTTAGGATGGGACGTTTGATAAATGAGGCTCTTCTTTAGGATGGGCTGTTATTCTGCGTGTTCTGCCTGTTGAATATGACATAAAAATTATATGCCTCTTCCTAAACAAAAGCGGGTGTCGAACATTTTGCTGTCAGCTATTTTAAGACTCCGTGTGATAAGCTCACTGTCCTAGGTCTGCGTATGTGCCTGACTGTTTATCCACCTCTCATAGTTCCTGAGGGTATGAAGAGTTTGTGTTAATTTATTGTTCGAAGATACTTGTGTAGGTCTAGGGAATGTTTATTTTTTTTAATAGAAAAGCTTAGATAACAAAAAATATATGCTGTGTGCAGAAACCTTAAAATTGTTGTTATTTTCCAGGTAATTGTGAAAACAAGAACAGAATATCAGCCTGACCAGAAGAACAAAGGAAAACTCAGAGTGCCCAAAATTGCTGAATTCACAGTCAGTTTCACTGATGGTGTAACAGAAAGACTAAAGGTAAGAAATGGTTATTCTGCTGCCTTCTGATGTAAATGCCATTCATTTTAAAATAACTGAATCAAAGTGAAGGTAAAGACATAACAATTTTAACACTCCACTCAGCGTTAGGGTCAAAGAGAGGTTTATCTGCATGAATATGAAAGCTTTTTTTTAGGTCAGGCATGAAAATGCCTTCATAACTAGATCTAAAGTAGGAAATGTTTTCCTTTTTCCAGGAAAAGTTCTAAAAATATTTTCCAGCCCAAGTAAAACAAGTTCAAATCTTTTTTATTCTCAAACATTTGTGTTTAAAAAGAATAAAAAAATCAGTGAAGATTGTTTGAACCAGTTTGTTTTGCCTTTTAAAAATTCTTTTATCTTGTAGTCAAACAACCCTTTTCATATTTATAATATTTTATTATTATATAATTATATTATTATAGATTAAAAGCCGTTTCAACATGGATTAAAAAATGAGATATGAGACACATATCCAAGCATATCCTGTCCTTTAAGCAGTTTTGGTTCACAGGAATTGGAATTTTCTGACAAAAAATGTTCCTTTGAGGTATTTTCAACAGGCTGTACTCAAACATGGAAAGAACCTAATGAATTATTGAGTGCCCTCAGTTCCTGTTGACTGCAGCATATCAGAATGGCTCAGTTCCTCCTAAAATTAGACTCCAAGCATGTAGTTGCTAGTATTTTCTCCCTTTTCATTGAGAAGATACAGTGCTTTTCCTAAACCGCAGAGCACAGGAGTGAGAACAATCTGAGATCTCATTTCACATTTCCAAACTCAGAGGAAATATCAATTTGAGTAGAAAACACAGAGGCTAGGCGGTGCCCAGCTGTAGTCGTGCTCCTTGAAAAGCTAGGATTTGGTTTATAAATTTTTGTGAAAGGGTATCATCCTCGACAATTAACAGGTATTGACTCAAGGAACTGAATTGTCTTTCATTTGGCCCAGTTGTTCTTAGTTTTGCAAGAAATAAGAAATTTCATTATAATTGTTTTCTTAGTAATTTAGAAGAAAGCAATCACTTTTAAAATTGCAGTGTGATCCAGGAAAGATTGTTCCCATTCATCCTTGATAAACTTCAAGATAAGGCTTGTTCAACTTACTGAAAGGAGAAATGTTTAGCTGCTCTCTTCTGAAGCACTGTAGAATGCCACTGTTTCTGTTTTTTCCAGAAATTCACTAACATAGATTTCACAAGGACAATTCTGTTGCTTTCATCCAGGATATTTAAAGCCATCATTTATGCTTAAGAGGTCTGTGAAGAAGTGTTTACAGCTTCTTGGGGTTTTTTCAGTGGACATCACATGTTTTGATCTAAACTATTTGCTGGGGGCTTACATCCTGTTGGTTTTGACAAGTTCTTCACAGATCTTATTGAGTGTGTAGTACCTACTTATCACCTCTCTGCTGGTACCACTAGTAAAGTAAACAGCAAATGAGCCACAGTTAAATCCCCAGTCTTGGAAACTGCAGCAGACTTTTTCCAGTGTGAGCAACGTACAAATTGGAACCAGAGACAACGTGCCTAAGAAACAACAGTAAATGTAGAGTCTCCTGGAAGTGTAGTGTTGGCTTGTGACCCGCAATAAATGGCATTATTGTTTATATTGTAAGAAACGGTGCTTCACTGGGTATTTAAAACTTAATCCTGCAGCCCTGAACACTGTTAAGGTCAGTGTAAAATGAAGTTTTAATCCCATCGAAAGATCTGGCTCTGTTATTTAAAAAAGCAGTCAAGAACTTCTCATCCTTCCACACTGTGCATGCGGTAGGCCCGTAAGTCAGAGATATAGCTCATCCACTGCTATGGATAAATCTCCTTTCATCTACGCCTTCTACAGAGTATCTTATTTTTCCCATTCTTCAAACCCTCAACTTACTGTTGCGTTCCAACCTCTCCTTTTGTTGTATTTTTTCCTCTCCCCTCCCAGTTTTCGGTGCAGTTCTCCCATTGCTCTCACCTGTGCGTGCACAAAGACCGCACAGCAGCAGGCGCGGGGCAGCCGGGAGCTCGGCTGCGGGCGCAGCACTGGTGGGGGTTTGAGCTGCTTTCCCCTTCGCTGCGCGGTGGGGATGGCTGTGGGAGCTCTGCCTCTTCCCATGCAGCCTGGCAGCGGGACAGTTTCATTTTTAAGCTATTTCCTTTCCCTAAAGTCCATAGGATTTCCATTCTCTGCTCTTCAGTGTCAACTTATTAATCACTCAGCCTCTCTTCTAATACTGGATAAGACTATAAGCCTCTCCCTGCCTGATTTTCATAAGGATTCCATGTATTGTATTAAGTTTGTAGTAGTATTTCCTGACAAAAATGTGCTGAGATAATGGGTAATATTTCATTATCTTTTGTACTTTTTTTTTTTTTATTGCACCACATTTTTATACCAGTGCATATTTTTAGTGAAGTTATTAAAAATACTGCCCTCTGGTTATAAGCAGGCCTATTATCTGGTACAGAGGAAATAATTTTCCATTTGTTTTTTGTAAGAGGAAGTCATAGTAAATACTTAACTTTTATTATCTGAGTTTGCCTACACTATTAAAAGCTTAAAAAAAGATAATATAAATGAGATCATCATATTTTCTTTTGCTGGCTCGTTGCTCTGTATAGCCTTCCTGTATGTGGTGCCTTGGAAATATCATCCACATCTTCTTGCTGACACACTGATTAAAATCGAAGTATTCATCTGTGCTTGAGCCGGGCTGTTGGTAGCTATACACTGGCAGAAGAAAGTAAATCATCCCATTGATTTCTGCAAGTGAAATGATGGAGGGAAAGGCAAAAAGTCCATGCAAGTCTAGGTGGTCCATTGGTTTAGTGCACTCCGAATATGTGAGATCTGTATGGGAGATGCATGCACAACTAGTATGATTCCACAGCAGTGCTTGAATACAAGGGTTTTTATAGGGAGCAGTTTTGCTACTATTGCTCAACTAATCTGTGTATGAGGAGCAACATATCTCAGTATGTGGTACCTGTATGCTGGGGAAAGCGACAGGACAGTAAGAGGGTGCAAAGAAATAGCCAGGAGGTCCTTTCCTGTTTGCTATTGCACTACTGTGGCATCCTGGAGAATACAAAGTGAGATGTCTTGTATTTTATTTTTCACCAAAAGAGTGGAATTATCGTCAATTCAAACAGAAATAATGGCAAAGTGAATCTCTGTCATTACTAAGTATTTGTGGAAGAATGCTGCTGGGACTCCATGTTTATGACTGTGCTCCCCACCCACTAATGAGCTCTCTGAAGGGGTTTTTAACATGCCTGTTTCAATCAATGACGTGCTTTTCTTTCCTCTGCTTCTGGTCCCTTGGTATGGGAATGTTCTCAGGGAAGAAGGAAACTCTTTCCAAGTTCTTGTGTTTTTTTTCTGAGTCATGTAGCTGCATTATACAGAAGAGCAGGATCTCTGGGGGAGATTTTGGGACCATATGAACATGACAGTCAAATCCACGGATGCCCTTTATTCTGCCTTTGGGGTATCTTTTATTGAAGAGGCTAATGAATTATTAGACAACTTTCTTGCATGAGCAAGCCAAAGCCACAATCTAAGCTTATGCATGCATATTTTTCATCCGTCCAGAACAGCACAGATCTGAGCTCTTAAATTATCGTAAAGATGAGACCGTCCCTAGGCAACGGTTCTTATTTGACACTATCTCTTCCAGGAATTTTAGATAGCTTCTGCAACTTGTCACATCTCCTAATAGATGAGATTATGATTCTCTGTAGCTCAGCACACAGTGTCCTGGAAGTTTGACCAATTAGGCTTATTCTTCAGCTGGATGAGTCACCCCATACATTCATACGTTCATACACACAGCAGATGTTTAAATAGTTGTGTGTAGATGGGTTACAACAAAATGATGTTAAAATAGTGTTATGGTTGAGCCATCCATACACAAAAGAAATTTCTTTTGTTGTTTTACTCCTCCACAGAAAAGCAATGACAACTTTTTTTTTCTAAGCTGACTGGCAGTGAATTTAGACCTTGCCTCCTCCAGACTGTTTATGCCTTTTGAGTGTGTCCCTCTAGGAAGTTTTGGAACTGCAAAGTTCTTATTTTGCAGTAACGATGTATATCGAGGTTTCTCAGTCTGGAGGGGAACAGTGTCTGGTGTCTGCCTTCCATTTTGTGTGGTTTGAAGGTAGTGCATGTTACCATGCTTTGCCATCCAGTTACGTCACTGAGGTGCATTAGAAAAGGTCTGCAAATGTAATGACTCTCTCTATCATACAATCATGTTCCTTTGTGGGGCAACAGATCTCACCCTTTGCATTTGAGGTGGGTGCTGCTGCTTTTTGCCAGTGATATCCTACATTACAGCTTTTAAGAACAATCTGTCATATGCAAGTATCTTCATTCTTGTGAGTTTCTGCCCTTATTTCTTTCTGTCAATACTGAAATGAGATCAAATGCTCTTTTGCTTTTCAAGCAGATTATCCATTGAATGAAGAATCTTGTTACATCTGGAGGACACATTGTCCAGTGACTCCTTTTGTCTTTCAACCAGTCCAGGTAACACAGACATTTATAAGGTGAAGAATGGGTTTCTACCCACTTTCTTGACTGTCACAAGCTGGAGCTTGTGTTCAAGACATCAGCACCCTGCTTAAGAAGAAGCAAGCTGGAGAATAGTTGTTGATGGATTTTGTGCTTGATCCAGTCAGACCCAATGAGTGTAGGTAGACCTGTGCTAGCCCTGAGTGTGCCCAGATTTTTCTATCTCTGAAGAGCACCGGAAAAGGTACTGGAGTGGCCTTTCAGCGTAGGCTTATGACATAGAGCATTGGGTTGAAACATGTAACTGCCTGTCAGTCACTGGTTTTGTGCAAATTCCTCTATTTATTACACAAGTAAGTTTACGCACAACCAGTTTGACCTCTGTTATCACTCAGTGCTGTAGAGCTATTCATTGCTGCCTTTTCAGGGAGACAATGGTTTAATGGCTGTTAGCTGGG